GTACTGAAGTGCACTAACTAACTAAGTGTATTAGAAGCACCAGTTAATCTGCAGTATAGTTTTGTGTTTGGCCAACTGAAAACTAGCTAGTCACTAGTACACAATGCTGTTAGGCTCCCTACTGGATCCTCCAAAGTTTTGCAAAACATAGGGTGACTGTAGCTCAGGAGGTACAGCAGGGGATCTACTGAACTGAAGGTCGGTGGTTGAATCCCTGGCTGCTCCACTGGGTTATGAATGTGTGTGTGTGATTGGGGGATTGAAAGCACTACTTCATAGAAAAAGTGCTTTGGAATTGTGCCCTCTGAAAAGCTGAAAGCTAATTTCTTTAAGCTTGCATTAGTTTCATATTCATTTTGTTGTTGGGGTTTTTTTTTTGTCTTATTTTCTGTTTCGTATTTGTTGCTATTTATATAATAGCTTCAAGATAAAATCACTGGATGTGATTTTATCTTGAAGCTATTATATAAATAAACTTACTTACTTACTAGTGAGTCAGTCTATTACCACTTTCATCGCCATAGTATCGACCATCGACCACAGTATGTGAGAACTCAGGGCTGTGTGTCGGACAGGGTCGTCTGCAGTACGGGGGCCCCACAGGGAACGGTTCTGGCTCCGTTCCTCTTCACTATCTACACTGCAGACTTCTCCCACAACTCCACCCAGTGCTTCCTGCAGAAGTTCTCTGATGACTCTGCAATAGTTGGCTTCATCACTGATGGGGACGACAAGGAGTACAGAGAACTGACAAAAAACTTTGTGGACTGGTGCCAGCTGAACTACCTCCAGATTAACACCAGTAAAACCAAGGAGCTGGTGGTAGACTTCCGCAGGCACAAGCATCCTCCACTGCAACCACTGAACATCCAAGGTATGGACATTGAGGCTGTGGACAGCTACAGGTACCTTAGTGTTCATCTGAACAACAAACTGGACTGAACTCATAATTCAGACGCCCTCTACCGGAAAGGGCAGAGCAGGCTGTACCTGCTGCAGAGACTAGGGTCTTTTGGAGTGGAGGGCCCACTCCTGAAGACCTTCTATGACTCTGTGGTGGCCTCAGCCATCTTTTATGGTGTGGTCTGCTGGGGTGGCAACATCTCTGCTGGGGACAGGAAGAGACTGAACAGGCTGATCCGAAGGGCCAGCTCTGTTCTAGGATGCCCTCCGGACCCAGTGGAGGTGGTGAGTGACAGGAGAATGGTGGCTAAGCTTTCATCCCTTTTGGACAACGTCTCCCACCCCATGCAGGAGACTGTGACAGCACTGAGCAGCTCCTTCAGTGGCAGGCTGCGGCACCGACGGTGTGGGACGGAGAGATTTTGCAGGTCTTTCCTCCCCACTGCTGTCAGACTCTACAACAAAAACTTCAACTGATCAAACGCACAAAAACCCACACATGTGCAATAAGACTAAGTGCAATATTCTTTTCTGACAAAGTTGTATTTTTACTCAGTTGTATATAGAATTTGTATTCTATTTTTCTCCTATTGTATATTTTATTATATTTTATTCTACTGTATATAGTATTTTATTTTATTCTATTCTGTACAGTTGTGTACTGTATTTATTCTTATTGTGTGAATTCTTCACAGGCATTCACACTATTGAGATCCTGTTTCTCTTTATTCTTTATCCTTTATTATTCTAGTTGCTCCGTTTCTTTGCCGCTTAACTACTCCCTCATTTTTCAGTCGATTTTCACAGTTCAAACTTTAAACTGTTCTGCTATTTCTGCTATATCTGCTATATCTTTTGATGATGATAACTTTTATACTTTTTGAGATATTCAACTTTTTATCCCATTTTTTGGTCCATTTTGCTGACAGGGACCACATTATCAGTGTGATCACCAGTTTTGATTGCTGGACTGAGCCATGTTTTAGCTCAGTGAGATGAGCATCCGTTCTCAGACCAGGAGGCCTGGGTTCGAATCCCACTTATGGCAACATTTTCTTCAGTTAACACTTCAACTGTTTAAACTCTTTTCCACACAAATTTCAGCTTTTTCACCTCTTTTTAGCAAAACTTTCAGTTTTTCACTACTTTTCAGCACAAATTCCAGCTTCTTAAGCTGTTTTTAGCACAAACTTCAGCTTATTTTCCTCTTTTCAGCAGAAAGTCTGCTGATTCACCTCTTTTCAGTACAAGTTAGCTTCTTCTGCACAGTGCGCATTTTTTTTCCTCTCATCATATCTCTGTTCGGTACTGGAACTGGTTTGGCGCAGTGGGATGCGCAGCTGCTGTGAGATCTCGTGGCAAAGGTTCAAGTACTACATGGGACAGATGCTGCACATCTTCCCTGCTTGCATGTAATCTGCTTTCATGACACTCTTCAGTGTAGTCTTTCAAATACGCTGCAGGAAATGCAACTTTTTCTAGTTATATTCTAATTTTTCTAATTTATAACTTTTGCACTGTCCACTTCCTGCTGTGACAAAACAAATTTCCCACGTGTGGGACTAATAAAGGTTATCTTATCTTATCTTATCTTATCTTATAGTGATTTTGTACTAACCAGTCACTCATTCATTGATAATTCATGACTACTCAGAATGTTTTTGTTCAATGAATACATATGCATATATATCAAAAGACACAGCATATTAGATGATTTACACTACTGCATAATGTGAAAACACTCACTGTGTTTGTCTTGAGACACCCGGTGATAGAGAGTGATATTTAAGCAAGAGTTTGAAAGTCATTCTTCTTTTTCTGAACTCTCATAAATACTGTCAGATAAAGTTACAACTTTTGTGTTCCCAGTCAAAAGTGAACATTCTATTTGGGTCCAAAGAAACTTATCCCCAAACTGCAGCTAACAGTGTAAAAAAAAATCCAATATTCCCTGAACTTTCTTGTCCTCCCTTGTGCCCACAGGTGTGTTGCTGTGCAGAGTTGACATCAGTAGCATTTTTCCATTTCTTTTTTACAGTAGGACAAAAATGTGTTTCTTTATTGCTGTGGTTAATTTTTGTGTTGCAGCCCCTAACCAACCACATGAAAAAATTATCATGTTATGTTTCTTAGGACATGCAGTCATCTCCAAACCACATGCTGCCCACTGTCTGCAGGAACACCTTTCATGGTCTCCTACAAATTGCATGTTCGGTTTCCCTCCGTGCAGACAGTTCTCGGTCTCTGGACATTTCTCTTACGCAACCCAGCTCACCTTGTCTGTGGATTCACATGTGTAAACTCTCTGTGTTTTTCTATGCCAGACCAGCCTGCTAACCACCTGTCGCTCTAAGCCTCCATTCTCTTAAGTATTTGCTGTTGATAAAACTTGTAACACTTTCTCCCTGTGTCCAGCTCTTGATGTCAGAAGTTAAGATTAAAGTTATATGCTTAAAAACCAAAGCCCATTCCACAGTAACTTCGACTCTTGATCCACAATCAAAACTCAACCCAATCTCCATGAAAGAACACATCCTTGTCGTGAAGCTTTTCATGGTATGTCCATGATTATTTTTAACTCAATGTCAAACTACTCTGCATACATATTTTTCAGATCATGTCAAGGTTACTTACATAGTTAAACTTCCTCGGGGCAGGGTCTTAAAATAGGGACAAGCTGTGATAAATGGAAATGATGCAGAGTTTGTTTACTAGTTTGTGTTTTTGTCAAAGAGTCCAATTGAGAAACAGCAGCTCAAAATATGTTTAATGTGTAACAGGGGTGTGGAGTGTGGCTGACTATTCAGTTGATTTTTGGATTTTTGGATCCTAGTGAAGGAGACTGGCTGGGGACCAATGGTGTAGCATCAAGGTTTTTTTTTTAACAGTTCAGTTATTTATATGAAGAAAGACTTAGCTGTTAAACACTTACTTGACTCGCTTGTCAACTAAAACTAAACTCCCGCTCCACTTCAGGTGCGAAACTTCAGGGGGGCAAAAGAGGAAACAGGAAGTGATGAGAGCAAACTGGAGTTGTAGCCGATGCAGATCAGCAGGACCGAGCTGACTTCAGAGGAAAGAAGGAGTGAGTGGTTTTACTGTGGGCAACATGGACATCTCATCAACACCTGTCCAGGGTGCCCACAAGTTTCTTCGAACTTCTTCAAGACACATAGTTCTTTATTTTGATGACACCTTGAGGCAAACTTATTTGCCATTTCTGCTATGAAACAGTAACTAGAAAAACAATCACCTAACTCAACATTGAAAGCTAAATTCTGTTCTTCAAATTTCTTCACTATTGCAGCGGAGAATGTTTACCTACATCAATCATGTTTGAGTTGAACCAAAAACAAGCACTGACTGTTCAGTATTAACATATATACAAGGCCTTTAGGCCAACAAAGCTCTATCAGTAACATTAACTCCTTCTGACTTTGTGCTGGTTGGTTGCTGTAAAAGCAGGAGCTGCCAAAGGGTCTGATAAAGAGGAAGTGTTTACAAACTGTTGGCAGGATACCTAATTTTATATAACCCAGACCACAGGAAATGGATGTCTCAACGGAAACTGCTAATAAAGAGTACACTGGGAATTGTTTTGTCTGTGAAACCTGATTCCTTTGGTTTAAATTAAATAAGTATTTGTATTGGAAACAGACTCTAACAGATCACTGTGACAGCTATGGCTACTTTGACTACTGGGGGAAAGGAACACAAGTCACAGTAACTTCTGGTAAGTGATCATGTCATGTATTTTGAGTTAGTGAAATCCTATATTTAGCTGATTATTTAGAGTATTAAATAAAATCTTGGTTATATTTTGCATCTAATGTTATAGTGTAATATCTGTGTAAATGATAGGTAATAGTTTCTCGGTTTAGTGTAATCACCTTTGAAATGACACAAGTAGCTGGCAAAATATTTTTTGCACTAAAGTGCAATTGAAATCTGTCACTGTGATGACTACTTTGACTACTGGGGAAAAGGAACAACTGTGACTGTCACAACAGGTAAAAAATATACGTATTTTTTCCGTTCTATGAAAAATTTAATAACACTTTTTAAATCGTTGTATTTAGGGTTTTAAAGGCACATGTTTTTGTATGTTGGATATGTTGAGTTATTACACTGTGAACGCTGCTTTTGATTACTGGGGAAAAGGAACCACGGTCACTGTCACAACAGGTAAAAAAGGTTTTTGTCTTCATATTATAAATGTGGTTCTTTTAGAGGCATTTTTGGGTTTTTTGTTTGGTTGGTTTTTCGACATTAGTGGGACCATGAGAGTCTTTAAGGTGCTTGTTTTTGTATGTTCAATGTGTTAATGTCTTATACTGTGACAATGCTTTTGACTACTGGGGAAAAGGCACAATGGTCACTGTCACAACAGGTAAGATGAGCTTTCTGACTTAATTTTAATACTAAAAATACAAAACTTTCACTGTTAATTTGGCATATTTAGAACTTGGAGGTGGTTGTTTTTGTATGTCGGATATGATGAAATTTTACACTGTGACCACGCTTTTGACTACTGGGGGAAAGGCACAATGGTCACGGTTACATCAGGTAAAATGATTCATTTCTTTCTCATAATGTTAAGATTTAAATTTAAAGACTGTGTTGTTGTTCTTTCAAAGAAAAAATGTTTTTCAAACTAATTTCTATAGTATTACAAGCCTATAATTTGTACTCTCAGTTTAATCTTTGATGGTATTATTTTTAAGAATTCAGAATCTCAATTTGCAAAAAATGAGAGTATTCCAGATTTTTTGGTTATCGTAAAATAATATGGAAAAACGCAGAAAAATGTGAACAGGTTTTTGTATTGAGTGGTAAATAATTATTTAGATTGTGGCCATTCTTTTGACTACTGGGGAAAAGGCACAATGGTCACTGTCGGTTCAGGTATGAATTTTAACATTATTCTTATAACTAACTTGTTTTTCCTGCTTAATTATATAAAATCTGACAAAGAATTGGCACAAAAAGAAAGAACCTTGTATTTCTTTCTCTTTAATTTGATTAGAAAATAATTATATAAGCAGTTATTTAGTTGAGAGTGATTCAAATTATTTCCAAAGTTAAATTATGTCACCAAGTAATGCCATATCACAGAAGTTAGTTTTTGTGAGAGGTGTAAAAAGACTCTGTTAACTGTGATAACTGGGCTTTTGACTACTGGGGGAAAGGTACAATGGTTACAGTAACATCAGGTAAGGTGATCTAATTCTTTCACTTTAATTTTAAGATTTTCATTTAAATTTTGATTTTTTTTAAAGAAATGTTGTGGTTGTGAGAAAATTCAATACCGTCATTTGTAGACTGAGAGACAAATGTCTTATAGTTTACAGACTTGGTTTAAATGGTGGTGAAAATCAGGTTTTGTACAGTCTTTTGAATCTCTTTATATTAACTATAAGGAAAATATATCAGATTGTAGATTGTTATAAGATGGAGTGTGAGGTTTTTGTATGCAGTTGTCAGTAAGTTGTTAAACTGTGACTACGCTTTTGACTACTGGGGAAAGGGCACGACAGTCACCGTCACATCAGGTACGAATTGTTATATTTCTTGCTAAAGAGAGAAATTCCTGATCCCCCGTTACAATACAATGTATTCATTTTCATTTGTTTACAACTATAATGATAAATTTGATAAAATAAGTACTTACATCAAAAAGATTTTATAGTTTGTTACAGATTATGTGAAAAAAAGAATTTCAGACCAATTGTGAGTAATAAATATCCTTAAGTAAGAGTATCAGATGTTTTGTGTGAAGTATGAAAACTATCTATTAAGTATTTCAAATGGTTTTTAGACTTGGAAAATGGCTCTCCAGTTACAGCATCATCAGTTAAGATATGTCTCCATTGGATACAAGTTATAATTTAACGTAATATTTTCTCAGTGAATTGTGTTCATATACATTTGCTAAAAAAAATGTGATATTGTCAAAATTGGCTTTAACAGATAACGTATTTTGGGTGATTTGATAGGATTTTATAATCTTCTTCTTAATGACTGTTGAAGTAGACCTTTTGTGTATCATTAATAGTTTAGCCTTTTTATACTAAGAACTAAGTATATTCAGTACTGTGCTACGGTGCTTTTGACTATTGGGGAAAGGGGACAACAGTCACTGTTTCATCAGGTAAGTAAACCATTTCATCTCAAACATCAATGCTAAAGTGGAATCAAATTTAATGTGTTCTTAAAATAATTTGCCATCAGCACTGTGAAAGGAAGTTTACCGACTTTATGTTATTCTTTTATTTTATTTCTGTTTTCTTGTGATTGATTTTTGTCCATATTATGCATTTAAAATAATTTACAAAAAGGTGTGGTGTAGACTACTAAAGAAGTGACACTTATTAATATATAATATTGTTATATAACACTAATGGAGAGTATTTAACAAAATAGGATTCGGGGCATTTGAAATGCTAAACATTTAAAATGTAAGGTCTTTCACAATGGACTTTATTATACATCACAATCATCTCGTTTTTTCTTTAAACAATTCTAAGTGAAAATGTGTGGTATATTATTGTATTTCTATTCTGGTATCTTAATTACTGTTGTCTCCCCTTTCTTAGCCACTTCAACTGCACCCACTGTGTTTCCTCTGGTACCATGTGGCACTGAGAGCGGAGATATGGTCACTCTTGGCTGCCTTGCCACCGGCTTTAACCCTCCTGCAGTGACTTTCTCGTGGAACAAAGGCAGCACTGCCTTGACAGACTTCATCCAGTACCCTGCAGTACAAAAAGGCGATGTTTATACTGGAGTCAGTCAAGTCCGAGTGAGGAAACAGGACTGGAATCCACAACAGAATTTCCAATGTGTTGTGAATCATGCTGCTGGGAATGCACAGGCTGATATCAGACCAACACGTAAGCCTTATGCTAATTCACATTTAATCAGTTTATCTTATTCTATTTGACTTATAACAAGTTTACATGAAAGCTCTGTGAACATATACAAAACTAAACAATTTGAATGAATTAGCACATAAATGCACAGGCTGATATTGTTATAGTCTGTAAGATTTTTGTTAAGTCATTTAATTTCCTTTTCTTAGGTTATTTGAACTCTTGATACATCACATACATAATACATTGCTACAGTAAACTTCAGTGCACATTTTCTGAGGCAATATTTCTTATAAACTATTACTGGGCCACATCTAGTGATTGTTACTTCTAATAAGGATAAGAGTCAGTTATCGAGTTAATCTCCAGTTTTTGTTTACTGAAGAAATATAGTAGAGGCTGACTTTATTGTAAATGCGCCCCAAGCTGCTTATGTTTACAATTAATCTGAACACACAACTTACAACAAAAACCTGAACTTATTCATTTTTAAAAAAAAATCATAATCAACATAGAAGCACATATTTCACCTCAATAAATAACATGAAATATTTCAAAATTCATAATTTCTTAATGGACTTTGTGGAAACACACACACACACACACACACACACACACACACACACACACACACACACACATTGTAAGGTGGAATGAGAAAAAGAATATATCCAAGCAGTATTAAGTTTTGGTACATTGTCTTTTTTTAATTCTTCACTCATATACTTATGTGCTCTGCGCCCGTCTGAAAAACAATATTGCAGCATGTTGTGCTTCTTTCCATCTGTCTAAATAATCCTCATCCTTTCTGATCTCTGCCTGTCTCCCTCCACTTTCACTGTGCATTGATAATTAACATAATTAACATTAATATTAAATCTGTGTTTGCTTGCCAGTCAATGTATATGCAGAAGTGAGCAGTGAAGCTCTGCAGTTCAGTTATTGGTGACTACACAAATCCAGTTTTCTTTTGGACACTGTGCAAAGTGAAAGTGCTAAAAAAAAAAGTGAGCATAAGGAACTTGTTTATATAGAAAAACAATATAGTATGAACAGTGTAGCAAATTATTTATCTCAGCTTCTGCATATATATAAATACGTATATATATATATATTATTCCCTGCTTCTGCATACACATATGTGTGTATATCTTTGTTTTTCAGCGGTGTTTAAGCAGAATCCAACTCTTAAAGTGTTTTCCTCCTCTTCTGATGAGGACGGTACCTATACTGCCTCCTGCTTTGCCAAAGAGTTTGCACCAAAGAAACATGGCATAAAATGGCTGAAAAACGGAGCAGACGTCACCAGCAAAATAGATCTGACCGAAACGGTTTCTGACTCAAAAAATGCGGCTGGAAAAACACTGTACTATGCAACAAGTTTTCTCACAGTAAATTCCAGTGACCTGAATGATAAGACTACATTTACATGTCAGTTTACTGGAGGAGAAGATGGATCTTTGAATAAAACTGTGCCTTACAAAGTAATCCCAACATGTGAGTAACAGATTTGTTTTCTTTTAAAAAAAATATACATTTATATTTTTAAATGTGGTTTTGTAATAATTTTGCTCACTAACTGTTTTTTGCTTCATTACTCAGGTCCTGATTGTGTTACATCTAATGTGAAAGTAGAAATCACTGGCCCCGCAACTGAGGACATGCTTTTAGATAAAAAAGGAACTCTAACATGTCGAGTCACAGTACAAAAAGATAAACCTCAAATAATGTGGGAGGATGAGAATAAAGAGGAGATAGCAAGTAAACCAATGATTGAAGAAAATGGGATGACATACTTGTCTAAACTTGACATCACCTATGACGAATGGAGCAGGGGGGTAAAGCGCTATTGTGTTGTTCACCACTCAGATTTACTCACACCTTCAAGGGAACCTTATGAAAGGGAATTCGGTAAGAAAAATACTCTGAAACAGTGTTTAGTCCTTATTGACATCTTGATATCAAAGACATCATAACTGTTGCTTCTCAGTCTGTATGTGTGTGTCTATGTCTGTGTGTGTGTGTGTGTGTGGATTTGACTTCCTGTATTATTTTGGTTAATGTATGTGTGGTACAAAGTCTCATGTTGTTTCATGCTTACAGGAGGAAGCCCTGAGCGTCCGTCAGTGTTTATGCTCCCTCCTTTAGAACAAACTAACAAAGCAGAGGTGACCCTGACTTGCTTTGTGAAAGACTTCCTCCCTAAGGAAGTTTTTGTGTCTTGGCTTGTGGATGACGAGGAAGCAGACTCAAGTAGTTATGCTTTTAATACAACAGAACCCATTGAAAACAATGGATTCTATTCTGCGTATGGCCAGTTGTTTGTCAGCCTTCACGAGTGGAAAAACAATGCTGTCTATAGCTGTGTAGTGTACCACGAATCTGTGGTTAACACAACTAGAGCTATTGTCAGGTCCATTGGGTACAGAACATTTGACAAAAACCGCATTGACCTCAACATGAACATCAACCAAGACTCAAAGTGCTCGGCCCAGTAGATGTTTCTCATGTCTCTGTCTTCTGCTGTTTGTTGTTTAATGTCTGTTGCTTGTGATATGACATTGTGTTTGTGTGTTTCAATGCAGATTCAAAATCAAAATAAAAAAACAGTTTGCAACTCTGTTGATGTTTATTGTATGCAGTTCACGTCTTCATTTAAATCATATTTTGAGCTTTATGTTTATTGTACAGTCACAGTGCTATCCTAATGTAGACAGTAGCATGTTTGGGTTATTTACACAATAATTATAAAATAATACAAAATAATAATATAAAAAAATGTAATATCTAATTTCTACTAGAATAATACAACAGTACTAAATGAGGTATTTAGGGAACAGTCTATGTTTATTTAATATGCAGATAGTTCAGTAACACTGCTTCTGTGACTTGTCTTTGTGTGCCTGTGTGTCATCTACTGAGTCTTGCACCCCTTAAAAACAGATGACTGCTCAATACAACCCTTTAAATCTCCCAGGCAAATAAACAATACTGGAGTCTTTCTAAAGCAAGTCAGAAGTCAGGATTGTAGGTCTGAAAGGGCATGAAATTCTATTCATCTTCATGGGACACTCACTCGACATCTGTCAGCTTATTTTTTTCTTTTCTGTCATTATAACTTCCAGCTGAGTTGACTGACTATGAATCTGCTATAGCATATAGAGTCAAAACATATGTATTTAACCCACAACAGAAATAAATAAAATCTATAAGTTCCCATCGTACAATGTGTGTTTCAAAGTGGGTTGTGAAATGTCCAGTTATTTGACACAATAACGTTTGTTCATCTAGATCTTCTCATCGGTGACTATCTGGAGTTTCATCACCCTGGACTATCTGGAGACGATAACATAGCAAGCGTAGCCATCGTCTTCATCCTTCTCTTCCTCATCACTCTGCTGTTAATCTTTGGAACAACTGTTATCAAGGTAATCAGAAATTAATGTGCTGGCATTGTCTGCAGATTTAACTCAGCATTGAGCAATATGACAGATTACATTCATCAAGCACGTAGCCATGACAGAAAAAAACTAAAACTCATTTAGCATTCTGCATTTTAACCATGAGTCAGAATAACTCAATTATTGTAAAAACAACAAAAAAAATGCAGATTACAGAAAAAATTGTATCTATGCACATTAGAAGCATTTAGGATTATGTCAGTTTAATAAACCAATGTAATATTTAGTTAATACAATTAAAAAAGGAAGAAAAAGGTTCACGTTATCCCAGTGAGGGATTACCTACTTCACAATTCAGCTGTTGTTGTGAATTTAATTATCTTTATACAGTTATTGCTAATATCATATAAACAATATATATCAGCTAAAATTCACTTAGAGTGCTGAAATTGTATAAAAACATAATTTAATAGTTGAATGTTCAAGGGCCAACTGATATCATACTGATATCGCCCTACTCAAAGATCTAGCTCTATGGACAAAGACAAGGGTTTTAAGTCAGAAGCAGCAAGTGTAATTTCTATTACACTGCATATTGGAAGACCATAAATACAAAATCGTGTCAGATCAAAATGAAGCTCTTTCAAAATCAGTGTGGCATGTGTGGTTGATTACAATATTTAAGATATGGTGACAAAAGTGATTATCAAACTCATTAAATTGTGTGATATTGTGTGGAATAATCTATGCCAATGGCAAAACATATAAAATATGCTCATATTGCTGATTTAAACCAATTTATATGTGTAAGTTAAAAGATAATTACACTACATAATGTTACTATTTGAATTCATTTTTCTTTATATCCCAGTGTAGCATGTATATCCCAGTGCTTTATGTCCAGATGGCAAGTTTCTGAATGCCTTAATCAATTGAATGTGTATTATTGAAAGTAAATTAATTTAGAAATTGACTTAATACTGTGTAACAATCTCTTATAAGCAGCTTTGTCAACTGTTAGTTTGACCTCCTAAGTGATTTTCAGCTGATATTAAAGTAGTGTTCCTTCTAAGTTTATTCAGCAACTATATTTAACCAACTACAAAATAAACGCACAGCATTATAAGTTTCCTGTGTATTGATACATTTTTTGATATATGTGTAGCAATGTAACTTCATGCATAAACACTATTTATAATGAAGTAGTGGTGAGCAGTATGAAATAAATCCTTTTGCTCCAAGTTCACTATTTTTTTATTCTTTTAACAGGTCAAATAAAACAAATGGACTGTGAAAGGACCTTTGAGTGTGGTGAAAAAAATATTTCTCAAACATTTTTTTTCATATAATCTCATACTATCATGTAAGTAATCACAACTGCCTTTTTTAAACTGCAAAAGCTTTATCTGTCTTTAAAAATAAATGTTTTAATTAAGATTAAATTTTGTCTTTCTCTTGCTTTATTTTGAAATTGTTTACATTATTTGAAGGTTGATCTGTAAAAGTTTAATGCATTTTAAAGATTATTTATATGTATTTAATATTTTGTCCTTTTTTAAACTCTAATATACAGTTCTGTTCATCACATCCACAGCATCTGGAATCAGCAGCCCATGCTATACCAAATATGCAAAGTGGTAGATTTTACAGTCGGTTGCGTTTTACTCTATTATTAGAGGATTTGAGAACTAAAACCTTTGGCAAAGTCATGAGATGTGAAATAAAATACATGTGGTGCACATGCAAACTGACATGAGAAATGTAAATGTGCAAATTGTTTCTCTTACTGGCATAACCACACCTCACACCTGCTGTTTGTGATGCTCCGTTGCTCTTTGCATTCTCTCACTTCTGTATTTTGGTACTTTTTTGAGACCTGGGTGTTACTCAATGCTTCCGCTTGCTGCTTGCCCTGACCACTCTGCCCTATCATGCATAACAACTGTGCAACAGACTTCCTGCCCTATCTTCACCTGACACAGTAACACCAAACAATGTCAAATTATAACTCTGCCATCTAGCCTAAAGACAAACACACTACACTTAAAACTGAAACAGTTCCTCATTTACCAAAATCTGAAGGTATGTATAACTGAGATGACATTAACTTTTTTTCTTGCTGCGTTAACACATAGAATTTATAATTATGCATGTAAAGTCAAACTAATATTTGCTCTTTCTCAGTGCCTCGGATTGTCTCAGCAAACATCACATTGTACTCAGTCTGGGATGGGGAAGTTGGAATCTCAACAGTAAGGCTCATCTGCACATTGAGTGGCTCCTTTCTAGACAAACTGACTTTGGAGTGGTTCCTGGACGAAAAACGGGATCAAAGCAATAAGGCAAGCACAAGGAAGCTACAAAGTGCAGGGGGAGAACAGAAAACCTTCAGCCTGAGCAGTGAGTTTAGGCCAAATATGGCATCGTGGGCAGAAGGCTCAACTTTTGCCTGCAAGACTAAGCCCAATGGTGATCAATATAACAGAGCAATAAACATTTGTCACAGTAAGTATGTAGAGTTACTGACTCAAATAACACATTTATCATGCGCAAATTCTTAATATGTGAAACTAATTAAGATCAGTCTTTAGTTAAAAGTTTGTTTTATTAGCTTGCCATATTAATAAGCAATTTTTCTTATAATCCACAGAAATTCACCTTTATTGTAACAACGTCAGACTCTAATGTTTGTTTGGTTTTTTTGACTTTCCTATTAACAGCTCTTCCAAGCTCCTCTCCCTTCATTCAAGTGGAGATTCCCAGCTTCAAGACTGTAATTACCTCAAATACTGACATGCAAGCAACGTGTTTGGTCCACACTTATTTTGATGCCACGATCACCTGGCTGATTGATGGCAAAGCCGTGACTAAAACAGCGACCCGAGAGAAAAACGCAACTCATATAATCAGCAATCTTTCAGTTTCCTCGACTCAATGGGAGAACATGAAGAATGTAACATGCAAAGCAGAGCATAAGTGCTTCACATCTGCTGAGAAGACCATAAATAATGCAGGTAAGATGATACAACAATAGGAAAATCAGACATGTTATGACCAAAGAGCAATTAAAATAATGTTTTTGCATGATCATCCAGGTTGTCCAGTTAATACTCCTTTGGTGGAGATCAGGCGATCTCTCACAGATCTGCCGAAGAGAGACAGTGCAGTGTTCGAGTGTGACATCAAACAACTGTCCTCATGTAACCTCTTCATCGCCTTAGAAGTCAATCGTGGTGAAATTCTTGAAAAAAAACATTATAATTTTGCTGAAGGCTCAGTAGCCAAACTTTCAATCAGTAGTCAATTCATTGTCCCTCAGAAGTACTGGATGAAAGACCAAACCTTTACCTGCAAAGTGATTCAAGGCTCTTCTAAAACCTTTCACTCAAACTCCATCAGCAATATTTTTGGTGAGGAGATTTCCCTTTTTTTCCCTTTGTAGAAGCTGATTTATCTTTGTTGTTTTATAGTTACATGGTTTCTATTAAATAGACTAATAGATGCATTGATTTATCCCCCTTTAGTGGACCCATCCATGGAGCTTCTTCTGGTTCCCAGTAAAGGTTCAGAATCACAGACTCTTTCATGCTCTGGATGGAGCTTCAACCCTCACATTAAATGGTTGTCTGAGTCTCAGGAAAGGTCTCCAACTTCCACTAATATCAGCATGAGTGTAGATGGACGTGTTAGAGTAACGAGTCAACTTGTAATTGATCAATCTGAGTGGAAAAAAGGGAATAATTTCACCTGTGAAGTGTCTGACAGGTCTCTGAACACAAGTATCACAAAAACAATCAGTCTCTGTTCAGGTACAGTGAAAATTCTCTTATTGTGATAATCATTAAGAATACAATAAAACTATTTTTAAATTAGAAATTTGGATATAAGACATTTTATAACTGCTCCATGGTTGTTGCATATTATTTTTATTTATTTATGTATTCATTTTTTAAAATTAATTTTATTTTTTATAGAAACTCCATCATCATCACAGCTAGTTGGGGTTTATGTCCAGGGACCACTGCCACAGCTGACTGAGAGCAAAGAACATGTGACTATTACCTGTCTTCTGGTCGGCCCTAATCTTAGTGATTTCTCCATCACCTGGAGAGTAGGTGGCAGCAAAATTCCCGAGAGTTATGGTGTCCTAACTAATCTCTCAGTGAGTCATAACAATGGAACAGAGACTCGACAGAGCTTCCTTAAAGTGTTAGCAGTGGATTGGGATGCACATACAAACATTTCTTGTGAAGGAAAACATCCATGTTCCAATCATGGGAATGAAGACCATATAAGCAAAAGCAGAGGTAATATTAGAAATGTAACAAATCTTTCTAAACTTCATGTTCCTCTGGTTGTGACTGTATTTTTATGGTTCTCTTCCTTTTGTGTTTTTCAAGACTTCCTTGAGCCAACAGTGAAGATAATACAACCAACTGCCTCTGAACTTTCTAAGTCTGACATCCTAACGCTTGTTTGCCTAGTGTCTGAATATTTCCCTGCTAACATCATAGTGCACTGGGAAGAAGATGGCCGGACTCTCGCATCCTCACATTACGTAAACAGTCCTCCATGGAAATACTCAGGGAGCAGCTCTTACTCTATGAGCAGCAGACTAAACATATCCAAAACTGAAGCCACAAGGTCTACGTATTCTTGTGTTGTCAAACAGGAGTCATCTAAAGCGCCTGTTAAAGACAATATAACTGATGTGTTTGGTGAGCTGCCATTTAGCATTTAATATTTACCTATTATTTCCATTATAATCATTTTAACAGACTGATTAAAATTGATTGACTGATTGCTAAAAATGTTGTGGATATCTTTCCAGCCTCAGTGATCTACAGCCAGCCATCAGTCTACTTGTTTCAGGGCTCTAATGAACTTGTGTGCCTGGTCTTTGGCTTCAGCCCTGTATCCATTAACATCACTTGGTTTCAAAATGGAGGCACAGAACCGCTGAACTACAACACTAGTGAGCCCCACAGAGGCCCAGATGGAAAGTTCAGTGTCAAGAGCCACCTTTACCTGTCCCAAGAAATATTCTTACCTGGGTGGTCTTCACCTGCCGGGTGATCCATGCCAACACCACCCTGTCCCGGAATATATCGAAACCAGGTACTGCATCATTCACTGATTGATTTTTTTCTTGCACATATAAGGTCCTATTAAGTAATGTAAAGGACATGTAAAGTCCATTATTTTTCCAATCTCTTTTCAGCTTCTTTGTTAGTATAATAATGTCAAGTAAGTGATAAATAACGCAATGTATACATTATTCACAGATACGATGAAATATTGTAATTTATTTGACAACATTGTGCATGCTGATGTGAATGAAGACACAGCTGAGGAAAGCTGGAATGTGGCTTTCACCCTCACTGGTTTTTTCATCATCGCCACCATATATGGTATCATAGTTACATTATTTAAGGTAAGCACTTGTCATTTGATTGTTTAAAAGTAAGATTCACGTCTAGCTTCTCATTTGAACCATGAAGATTATTATAATTATTGTTATTATTATCTGTACAAGGGAGACAGGGAGCATAAAAATATGTACATGCACTGTCATTACAGTATGATGCTGTGATGATTTATATTGTGACACACCATTCTAATCTGACATTCCAGTCTATGTAGGCTTTCAGTCATCCATGTCATGATAGTCTAAGGAGATTGGAAAGAAAGCAACTTGACTTTTTTTAAGTTATATGAAGAGGTTTCGCCTGTCATCCAAGACGTTTTTCAGTTCTAAAACCAAACGATGGAGAGTCCCCGGTATTTAAACCTTGGCACAGGTTGTCCTTTACCAGCATTGCAAGAGTTAGCTTTAAATCAACACCTAAAGGATAAAGATCACTCTTGGCAGTGTTGGGATCACACCAAGTGCCTAAACCCCCACTCACATCTTCCCTCAGGTGACCTCAAAAGGTCATATGACTGGGTGAGGTCTCACAGTGGTTTATCAAAAAGCTATGGTGATAATTACTTTTTTCATTCATTGGATCAAATGATGAGGCACATGGCTAATATCGGTCATTGACCCCCTTAAGAGACAACACTCACTAGTGTTTAAGGACCTGGAACTCCCCACCATCTAGTTTAAGAACTCAAGAAGTCATTTGAAGGAGAGGTGAAACATCTTCACAAAACCTAAAGGAGTCCAGTTACTTTCTTTCTCAGCTTCTAAGTCTGTATTATGACATTCCATTGGGTGCTTAGTTGAACTTTCAAATATGACAAATATATAAATGTATATTATAATAATAATAAAATGTTGTTGTTTCTATTACACTTTAATACACTTTTTATTTCAAGAGAAAACAATACAAAGTTGTCACTAAAGGATTACATTTTCTCTCTCATTTTTTCTTTCAGACTAAACCATGATGTTCACAGGACGGTTCATGTATTATGACTGAAATGTCTAAGTTCTGGGGGTTTGAACAGCACCTGTCCTGACTAGTTTGAACATGTAATGCTTTGTTTTTCCATTGTTATTGATGACATTGTTTATGCTTTACAATTTTTGGCATTTGTGTTTTAGTTTTGTGCTAGATGCGACATGTATGTAAGACAAGTGAGAAATGCATTAAAAATCAATAAAGAAAACAAATAACTAATTTTCTTCAGTTCTTCTTGAATTAAGAAAAATGCTAACTTGCCTTACAGAATACAAGTAATGACACATACTAATATAAAACTGTTTATCTTTGGAAAATTGTGTTGTGCACCATCATGTTGTATTACTTGGATTTTCCACAAGAGTGAGACAAAGCTCCATGTGTAGTAGCAGCAATGTGGGTGCAGCCTCTATGTGAAAACCTGTGCTGATCATAATTTAAAGATGCTGACAGATGCAGTGGGAAGGCAGTGGTGTTATGAAGAGGTGCATTCATTTGAAAGCACAAAGAATGTTTATGTAACTCTTCCTCTTTCCAGACATACACAGAGTCAGTGTAAATCTGTGAACTCTGTCTTTAAGTGAAAGCCTAGATTGTGTTTCCATGTGCATTTGTGTACCTTGTGGGTTTGGAGGAATTCACATTTGGGAGGGATGACACAAAACAAATTAAGGCTTACTATTGGCTGCCTCTGAAATGATCTGGCAGTGTGTTGCCCCAATTGGCTGAAGACCCTGTGGCAGCCAGCCCTAATCTTTGAAGCTGTTGCTAATGAACAACATGCTGCTGCCAGTCTAAGTGGCAAGGGCCCAGCAGCAAGGAAGCAGGGCACCATGCCCAGCAGAATGCCTGACAGTGTCTCCATGTCTGACATCCCCACCAAACACCCTCCCCCCAGGTGCTTACCTGAACCCTTCCCTGTTTCCTTACATACCAATGATGAATTTAAACCAAACATCCTACATGAGCTAATAATCCACCAGTACAATGTATACATGTATATATTAAATTGGATTGTATATGGATTCTTAAAGCACCAATTTGCAGACGCTGTGAGGGAATGTACCTCCAATATTACCCAAACCACTTCCCTTTATCCTGAAGTCTTTGTGTCTCAGTATTTTATCTGCCCTTGTTATTGATGCTACAGCTTTGTCTTTATTCAAGAAATCCCACTGAGTGTTTTCTCTTATGAAAACAAATGATGAACTACAGTAAATAAAGTAATTTCATACCTCAAAACATCACAGTGACAAAAATTATGAATCCAGAGGCAAACACAATCCAACCATGAAAACTGCATCATGCCAGGGACCTTTCTCCCATTAAAACATGACTGGATCATTTACTGGAGGAAGCAGAAATGAGGGTCTAACAACAGTGTACCACTGCACTCTAGTGGATGTAGTAATTATGACATGGGAAAAAATAAAGCTTACTGCAAAATAAGACGTCACAATGAGTCCCATTGTCTGCACAGAAAAGTGGTTAGTACGGATGATTGGGGTTTAGAAACACAATAAATAAATAAATGAAATAATATCATATCACAGGACAGTTTCCACTTCAAACTGATATTCAACATGGCTTTGCCTCATAATCAAGTCTGCTTCTGATTTTTGCATTTCAGTTTTTTAAGGTCATGTAGGAACAAATTACTAATTGCTGAGAGTTTCCAGGTATCTGTTTAAGTCACAGTTATTATCAAATCGTAGTAACATGTGTGAAGGTCCCAGTGTCCAAAAGGGAGAAAATACCTTTTTAGTCTAAAAAAAGAATTTAAAAAATGCCTTCCTAAAAGCTAGCACTGTTAAACACTGGTCATAGAAAACAGAAACAACAACAGGTTTATCTTGACCACTGTAGTCACGCTGACAAAGAGTCAAAGTTCCAGGTCACGTATGTCTTTAACTTTAACTTGCAAGGATTTCATGAATTTCTTGAATGAGTGTTCATCCAAATATGAAGAACAAAAACAGATTTTTAGTTTTAGTCTCCTTTTCTATTTAATAGTTATTTGTTATATTATGAGTTAGCTAACATAAACTAATGTAAGTCTATAACCAGCAACCGACCAACACAGTGATGTAATGTTCTACACTGACACAAGATGGCGCTATATATGTTCTAAAAACTTTTAACACTTATCTCTTAACTTGAGCTTCACAGACAGTGTTAAATCTATGTCCGTTTTTTGACAGCAGGGCTCCCTGGTGTGAATTAATTAGCTTTTATAGTTGTAGTGTTTCATGTTTTCTTTAATGACTTCTGAAGTTTAGACTATTTCTCTCGTATTAATCATTCTGAGTTAACTTCAATCATTTCTACCTCGAAACCATGATTATGCCATTTAGACTCCATTCCTACAAGACTGCTCAAATAAATTGATGATTAATAATGTTTAAATTCTAAATGGGAATAATCTGTCTGTATTACAGTTTTTGCCCGTTGCTTGAACACATTTGGCAAAACGTCGCTCATTGTGCCAAAACTCTAAACACAAGTAAACACGACACAACACTGGGAAATATACCATACACATCTGTGCCAAAATGAAACTCCACTCCCAAAACCTAAACTCTGCTATCAAAACCTATCATTCCTCTGTCAAAATGTAACTCTGTTGACAAAATGACACATACTTGCATCATATGCAAACACTTACAGATCAGGGGGAACACACTAGTCTTCTTTACATAAAACACTGCAGTCCTTGATTTCCATTGTGTATTCAGAAGGCACATTTACAGGAGACACATTTCCAAACAACCAAAAACGCAAATAGACCTACTCAATAGTGTACATCGCAGTACCATGAATTCAGATAAAGCAAAAAAAAAACAAACCACAACACAATAATACTGCAATAGAAAAAACACTATACTGTAAACACAAAAAACCATGACAATTGTGCATGAGTGGGCTCATGGATCCCGCCGTCTGTTGGGGTCTGGCCACAGGACCTCATCAACATCGCAAGCAGTGTCCTCTCCCTCTGGGCACCGGGGAAAATATCCTCTTGCATGTCGAAACCATCCATGGATTGCTGTCACCTGAATGTCGCCGCAGGCCTGTTCCATTGCCTGCAGAAGAGGCATGCGGGCATGTGGTTGGCGGTCATATACACGTCATCTCCAAGCCTAAAAAAATCCTCAATAGGGTTTAAAAATGGTGAGCAAGGGGGCAAGTATACCACTTCAAATTGATTGTGGTTGGAGAACCAGGCCTGGACCAGAGCAGCCCGATGGAAACTGACATGATCCCATATCACCACAAACCTGGGCTGATCTGCTCTGTTCTGTACAACTATATCATGGAGAGCATCTAGAAATGTGAGTATGTGTTGGCTATTGTATGGACCTAGTATTGCATGATGGTGCAGAAGCCCTCGAAGGCATATGGCGGCACATAATGTGATGTTTCCCCCGCGCTGCCCTGGGACGTGCACAATTGCCCTTTGGCCAATTACATTACGACCCCGTCGTCTTGTTTTGCTCAGGTCGAATCCAGCTTCATCAATGAAAATGTATTCATGAGGCTGTGCAGCTCCATCCATGGCCGAGATTCTCTGAAAAAAAGGGGAACATGTCACTGTACTACAGTGCTACACATACAGCACCCTCACCCCATCACACAGGTACCTGTGTAGCTCTCAGAATAGATCCATGTTGTACTGATATGGTACATATTCAGCTGCTACTGGACTTCACCAATACTCTATTGTAAATGTAAGGGACAGTTACACGTACCCGTACATATTCAGCTCGAAGTCCTTTGACCCTGTCACTGTTCCTCTCGAATGGGACTCTGTAGAGCTGCTTCATGGTGATGCTGTGTTTACCCAAGATGCGTCTGATGGTGGTGATGCTCACATGGTCTATGTTGCTGAACACTCGCCTGTCTGCAAGTATTTTCCGTCGTAGCTGGTGGAGACGGATGGCATTGTCTGCCCTCACTAGGTCCACAACGGCAAGTTCCTGCTGTTGTGTGAACAGGCGTTGCCGTCCTCCCCCAGAAGGTCTTCGGGTCATTCTGGAGGAATACAACCACATATTGTCATCGGTTTGCTTATTTTTCTTACAGTACTTTACTGTATGTACTGTGTCATCCACTGTACAACACTGTACTTCAATATAAGGAATCAGCCACTTTGACTGCAAAAGGAGCATTAGCACCCCGTACACTTGATATGGTAATGTGATATACTGTAGAACAGTGCTATGAAACCATCTGAGTAGAGCAGAAGGTATGGAGGTGAAGACATACCTGTTTTCTAGTCGGAATGTTCGTATTACAGATGCCACTGTGAAGCGGCTTAGATGTGGGTGGACTCTCTGCCCAGCTTCCCTCATAGTCAGGCCATGGTTGATGACATGGTCCATCAAAGTTGCTCTTATTTCATCAGAAATATGGGTCCGTTCATGGCCTCTTTGGCCTCCTCCTCCTCTTCCTCCTCCTCCTCTACCTCTTCCTCTTGCTCTCCCTCCATCCATGCTTGCAAAGTTCTTGAAATGGCTACGCTGAGGGCTTTTTGTAGTTGGCTAATTGGTGTTCGGTTTTGCAAGTACGTGCCTTCAGGTGTGTATTTGAGTGGTTGCAATTATCCGATGTGTTTTGTATTTTGGATACATGTGTTTCCGAATGGCACCCTGAGATTTCATTTTGTGAGCGAAGTGTCTTATGTATGAAATAGAGTGTAGCATGCAGGACCATGTGTGTTGCATAAAGGGGTAGGTGTGTTGCATAAAGGAGTAGGAGTGTTGCATAATTGGTACTGGGGTGCAAAGCAGCGCTTTTGTTTAAGGTATGGGTACATGTGTTTGAGGTATGGTAACAAAAGCTTCACGTTGTGTTACTTTAGTCTGAGCATGGGTTTATAGTGTTCAAGCAACGGGCAAAAACTGTAAAAGAGTAGATACCACAGGCTTTTAAAGTTGTGGTAACTAAACCATTACTTAAAAAGCTCTTACTTGATTCAACTGTCTAATCTAATTACAGGCCAATCTCCAACCTTCCTTAATGTAAAAAGAAGAAGAAGAAGAAGAAAATCTTGAAAGAGTAGTTGTAAAACAGAAAACGAATCATCTCCAGATGAGGACTTATTTGAAAAGTTTAAGTCAGGATTCAGAATTCATTACAATACAGAAACAGCAAATTATGAATGATCTTCTTATGTGCTCTGACTGTGGACTCATCTTTATGCTTGTCCTGCTAGACTT